AACAGCTTTAGTCGTTACAACAATCATGAAGAATGTTTACCGGTGGAATATTTGAAAATATTTCATGCTCATTGTTTATATTATAAGTGTTAAGAAAGGATAATAAATATTCATATTTTGTTTTTTTTTTCATATTTGTGGCAACTTGGCCACTTTTTGTTTTTCGTAGTTTTTAGCGCGTCTGTAACTATCTCTTATTCCTCTCCATTTTAAACAACATCGATATGCATGTACTAGATTTGGCATTCCGAACACTCACTATGTTTAACTGAACTGTACTGCAATCTGTACGCAAACAGTGCGGAGCAGCGCTAATAATAATTTTATATTAAATTAGCACATATGTAAAATAAATAAAAATTTTAAAAAATGTACTCGATTAACAATACAATCTAAATAAATAATTATTTATTATGACAATTTTCGCGTCTTTATATCAACTGCGAATGCGCGACTCTACTGTTTCCCGCGCATGTGCGGATACCTTTACAGAGTAGTGCACATTTTTGTTTGTAATGGCTTCTCTAGTGCGTAGTACATATAACTCAATGATAAACAATTTATGAGCTGATAAAAAAGAAAAGAAGATAATTTATAAATAAAATTTCTTTACCCAAGCACAAACTTAAAATACAATAGAACATTAATAAACTATGTTCACCCCGTTTTTAACCGACTTCAGATAGGAGGAGGTATTTAATTCGACTCTATTTTATTTTAGAAGTGGAAAGGGGTATGGAGATAAGTGTAGATGAAATAATGAAAGCAATGAAAAGCATGAAAGCAGGTAAGGCAGCTGGATATGATAGAGTATCACTCGAGATGCTAAGGGCTGGAGAGGGAGTGGTGGCAGGCCTGCTGTACACCTTGTTTAATTTATGTTGGGAATTAAAACGGGTACCGGATGACTGGTGTAAAGCAGTTATAGTACCAATATATAAAGGAAAAGGGTCACAGCAGGACTGCAAAAACTACCGTGGTATCAGCTTGCTTAGTATTGTGGGTAAACTGTATGCTAAGGTGTTAATTGAAAGAGTTATGAAAGAAACTGATGGAAAAATTTGGGATGTGCAAGCGGGTTTTAGGAAGGGAATGGGGTGTACAGATCAAGTCTTTTCCATGCGCATGATTGCGGAGAAGTTTTTAGCTAAAAACCAGAAAGTTTTTTGTGCGTTCATGGACTTTGAAAAGGCTTATGACAGAGTGGACAGGAATGTGTTATGGCAAACACTGAACTCATATGGGTTGAGCGCTGGTTCGATACAGGCATTGAGGTCTCTTTATAGGGATTCTAGTGCTTGTGTCAGGATCAATGGGGTATACTCGGACTGGTTTGGCATCCGAAAGGGTGTCAGACAGGGCTGTGTGGCTTCCCCTTGGCTGTTCAACCTATTTATGGACAGGTGTTTGCAAACTTTGAAAGATGAAGAATGTGGGTTAAGAATGGGCGAGTTAACCGTCAAATGCCTTTTGTATGCCGATGATCAAGTCATATTTGCGTCATCGGCGGCTGAGTTGCAAATGATGGTTATATTAATGAACTGGGCATTAAAAGAAAGGGAAATGAAAGTGAACGCAAGTAAGACGAAAGTGATGGTTTTTGAAAGAGAGGAAAGCAAAACGGTATGTGAAATAAGAATAGAAGGAGAGTTAATTGAGCAAGTGGATGAGTTTGTGTATTTGGGATGTGTATTTAGCAGGGATGGTAGATATGATAAGGATATAGAACGACGAGTAAATGCAGGGAATAGAGTGAATGGGGCACTACACTCTATTGTGAAGAACCAGAATGTATCAAAAAAGGCACGTATGGTAATTCATAATGCTGTGTTAGCCCCTACTTTAATGTATGGTAGTGAAAGCTGGGTGTGGCAGAAGAAGCACGAAAGTAGAATAAATGCTGTAGAAATGCGGTCTTTAAGGAGTATGCTAGGGTTGAATCTGAATGACAGGATGAGAAATTGCATGATAAGAGATAAATGTGGTATGCAAAATGATGTTGTGACCAGGATTAAGAAAGGAATACTTCGGTGGTTTGGTCATGTAGAAAGAATGAATAAGGAAAGAGTGACAAAACGAATTTATATGGCAGATGTGAACGGCAGAGTCGGGAAGGGACGCCCTAGAAAAAAGTTTATCGACCAAATTGGCGATATTTTGAAAATGGGCCACGTTAAAAGTACCCTTAACTGACGAGCATGTATGCGTAGATATATGGATGTAAAGGAGGCGAAAGACGTATGTCAGGATCGTGTCAAATGGAAGTCCGTGGTCTCTGCCTACCCCTCTGGGTGACAGGCGTGAGTGTTTATGCTATTTTATTTTATTTGTTTACCTCAGAACTTTTTTTGAGTGTACCGATTTTGATGATTCTTTTTTTATTTGAAAGCTGTTGTTTATCATGTGGTCCCATATAAATTTGATCAAGATCAGACCAGTAGTAGTTTTTGAGTTGACTTTGACTACATTGATCATATTGTCATTTTATTTAAATTGAAGTCAGCTGTACAAATGTTTTAATTTTACCACTTGTTATTAAGTCACTTTGTTGATTATCTACCTGTGGTGCCGGGTGGAATTCAGCAGTTAATTTTAAACTAACTTCCCGATGAGCTGAAAACTTGAAATTTTGATTGTAGCTCAAATTTAAATGACAATGCAAGAATATGATAAAAATATGTGGTATTTTTTTTAAAATATCACTTGTTATAAGCAACAAATTTGAAACGAAAATTTGTTATGTCAAAAATTTTATTGAATGTTTTTGTACAAAGGTCAAAATATTTTCAGACTTCTGCAGCCATTGGCGTTTATGGATATTTTATGCTGAGTCCGTAAGAAATCTAGTGGGGGGTACGCTCTACACTACGCCTACCGGTACGAGGCTGCCACTCGAGAACCTTTCTTCCCCATCGGTTATCGGTTCTTCGAGCTATATGGCCGGCCCATTGCCACTTCAGCTTACTAATCCGTTGGGCTATGTCAGTCACTCTGGTTTTAATGCGGATATCCTCATTTCTGAGTCTATCACGCAGTGAAACTCCGAGCATAGCCCTCTCCATAGCTCGCTGAGCGACCTTGAGCGTCCTCATACGGCCAGCAGTGAAGGACCACGTCGTTATTTATCTCGAATGTTGCATATCATTATTTATTTATTATTCTGTATTTGTGGATACTCTTAAGTAATATCCACTACAACTTGTAGATTACTCTTACCCTCGTTAACGGATTCCTCTGCATCACTTACTATTTTAAAAACATCACGTTTTACATGAATTTGGACATTCTTTGGAACGGTTGAAGCAGTATCTCCCAAGTTTGTGAAACAATCAATTATTTTGGCAGATTTAGGTTTTTTTCTGTACTGTCTTGTGAAGAGCGGGGACGACTTTCTACACTGTGGCTCTTAAATAGAAACTGTCCGCTAAAAAACAGCTTTAGTCGTTACAACAATCATGAAGAATGTTTACCGGTGGAATATTTGAAAATATTTCATGCTCATTGTTTATATTATAAGTGTTAAGAAAGGATAATAAATATTCATATTTTGTTTTTTTTTTCATATTTGTGGCAGCTTGGCCACTTTTTGTTTTTAGTAGTTTTTAGCGCGTCTGTAACTATCTCTTATTCCTCTCCATTTTAAACAACATCGATATGCATGTACTGCGCACTAGATTTGGCATTCCGAACACTCACTTTGTTTAACTGAAATGTACTGCAATCCGTACGCAAACAGTGCGGACAGCGCTAATAATAATTTTATATTAAATTAGCACATATGTAAAATATATAAAAATTAAAAAATGTACTCGATTAACAATACAATCTAAATAAATAATTATTTATTATGACAATTTTCGCGTCTTTATATCAACTGCGAATGCGCGACTCTACTGTTTCCCGCGCATGTGCGGATACCTTTACAGAGTAGTGCACATTTTTGTTTGTAATGGCTTCTCTAGTGCGTAGTACATATAACTCAATGATAAACAATTTATGAGCTGATAAAAAAGAAAAGAAGATAATTTATAAATAAAATTTCTTTACCCAAGCACAAACTTAAAATACAATAGAACATTAATAAACTATGTTCACCCCGTTTTTAACCGACTTCAGATAGGAGGAGGTATTTAATTCGACTCTATTTTATTTTAGAAGTGGAAAGTGGTATGGAGATAAGTGTAGATGAAATAATGAAAGCAATGAAAAGCATGAAAGCAGGTAAGGCAGCTGGATATGATAGAGTATCACTCGAGATGCTAAGGGCTGGAGAGGGAGTGGTGGCAGGCCTGCTGTACACCTTGTTTAATTTATGTTGGGAATTAAAACGGGTACCGGATGACTGGTGTAAAGCAGTTATAGTACCAATATTTAAAGGAAAAGGGTCACAGCAGGACTGCAAAAACTACCGTGGTATCAGCTTGCTTAGTATTGTGGGTAAACTGTATGCTAAGGTGTTAATTGAAAGAGTTATGAAAGAAACTGTATGCCTACCCCTCTGGGTGACAGGCGTGAGTGTTTATGCTATTTTATTTTATTTGTTTACCTCAGAACTTTTTTTGAGTGTACCGATTTTGATGATTCTTTTTTTATTTGAAAGCTGTTGTTTATCATGTGGTCCCATATAAATTTGATCAAGATCTGACCAGTAGTAGTTTTTGAGTTGACTTTGACTACATTGATGATATTGTCATTTTATTTAAATTGAAGTCAGCTGTACAAATGTTTTAATTTTACCACTTGTTATTAAGTCACTTTCTTGATTATCTACCTGTCGTGCCGGGTGGAATTCAGCAGTTAATTTTAAACTAACTTCCCGATGAGCTGAAAACTTGAAATTTTGATTGTAGCTCAAATTTAAATGACAATGCAAGAATATGATAAAAATATGTGGTTTTTTTTTTAAATGTCACTTGTTATAAGCAACAAATTTGAAACGAAAATTTGTTATATCAAAAATTTTATTGAATGTTTTTGTACAAAGGTCAAAATATTTTCAGACTTCTGCAGCCATTGGCGTTCATGGATATTTTATGCTGAGTCCGTAAGAAATCCTGAGGCGTTTCCAGCATCCCCTGCGGAATCTTACCAGAAATTCAAGGAAAATCCTAAACCTGAAACGGGCATGGTCTACATGGGTGCGGACTGTGATCCCAGGTAAAAAATAAAGTTTCAATTAAATGTTTTACTAATTTCCTGTACATTAGTATCAATCATTGCACAGACAAAGTGTACAGACCTCTTCCATAGATGTGAGGTTTTTTTCACTACTAAGCAGCTGCTTACAGTTGCCTTACTGAGTGTTATGTCTATGAGTGTACAATTTAATTTTTTTTATTTTCTAATCAATCCAAACTACATCTTCGGCAAAAAAGGGTAATGAGATCGGAAGCAAAATAACCAGACAGGTGACTGGAAGATTTGAAGATTTTTGGATATTACCGATATTGCCATCTACGTTTCACCTACCAGGTGTGTCGGTTAAGGTAAATCCTCGCTACAACGGGAGAGGTCCAGTCAAATAATGGACTCTTATGGGCTAATGATGAAGAAGAAGAAGGAGAGTGACAAATGAGCACACAGCCCACCTAATGGTAAGTGGATGCTGATTCTATTGTCATGGAAAGCTATGATGTTATAATAGTCATGATATAATAGTCATTCCCTGGTTAAGCCGACGTAATCCAATACAACTGTAGCGTTACTCAAGCATGTTAAAAAGTATAAGTTGCAAGCATATTCCGTAGTTTAAGTTGTAAATATAATTTGCAAGCATTTATAGCATTCGGTGACAAACGAGCACACAGTCCACTTTATGGTAAGTGGATTCTGTGACCCATAGACATCCACATTTACCTTCAATTAATAATCAAAATTCAGATGCGTTGTCACCTGAGGCCTGAGATGGAATGCCTCGATTCCATTAAAACGGGGTCTCCCGTTCTCTACACTGACCATACGAAACACAGCAGCATTACGCTGCTATTTTATGCTGGTATTCCGTGAGAGCGTGGTTCTTCCCCGGTCGAATTTACCCATTCGTGCCAGAACTATACAAATAATATTACTGCAGCATGGTTCTGCCGTCTGCTTCGTAAAATAGCGGACTACCATAAAATAGATTAACAAAACAGGGTAGTGAGTGTGGAGAACCGGACCCATTTTACTGGGAACGAGGCATTCCAGTTTAGTCTCCACGGGTGACAACGCGTCTGCATTTTTATTCGCAATCGGTGATAGATGTAATGTCTATAGGCCACAGCAACCACTTACCATCAGGTTGTCTGTGTGCTCGTTTGTCACCCTTATCCAATATTAAAGAAATGGACGATATCATTTTTTTCTCTAGATAATATGTTAGTATACGGAAGGTTACTAAACTCAAACCTAAATTATCATTTCAGGGCCAGAGGTTCTTACTACCTTACAACAAATGCTGCAACACCCTTCGGCAAAGGAATGGACGGCTTATACCCAAAACGGAAAAACAACAAGAAAAAATAATCTAGCGAAGCTTGGTTCTTGGGATTCAACTATACATATAAGTGCATACACTTTCTGTGACGTGAAAGTGTGCAACTTAAGGGGAAATATAATCTCAAATGGCTTAGCAAGATCCTTCGTTATGCCGAAAACATTGCAGCATTAATTTTGAAATAAATATATGGTAAAGTTGAGGATTAATGTTAAGGATTATGTTATACGAAAACACGATTTCGTAAAATTTTCTCGATAGAAAAGAAATCCAAAGTTACCTCCAAAATAAACAATAAACCGAATAATATAATATGCCTAGTTCCCTGGTATTAATTGCTCTATCTCTAGGTATTTCTAACAGTACGTTTGCACTGAGAAACATCCAACACGTAATGTTTTCAAACAAATCGCATAAAATAATTCACACAACATGTTTTGTTGATGGTGGCGTTCGCACTCACAAAAACTGTGTAAAATTTTCAACAGATATTCAAACTTATCTTTCAACATGACAATATTTGTAAAAATTCGTTTTGTTTCTCTATTTATAATATCTTTATAAATAGAGAAACAAAATGTAATATAGTTAAAATATATAATGTACAATAAACTGTCAAACATATTTCACTACAACATGTTCTTTGTCTACGCAAACGCTTTTTGATACATTAAGGGGAAATATAATCTCAAATGGCTTAGCAAGATCCTTCGTTATGCCGAAAATATTGCAGCATTAATTTTGAAATAAATATATGGTAAAGTTGAGGATTATTGTTAAGGATTATGTTAGACGAAAACACGATTTCGTAAAATTTTCTCGATAGAAAAAAAATCCATAGTTACCTCCAAAATAAACAATAAACCGCTGTTATTCATAAAATACTTTAAATAAGATCATGAAACTTTGCATACTAACTGAACTAACTATAAATCAGTGCTTATGTTATTTACTTTTTTTTAAAATACCATTATTTTCACTGTAAAAAAGAAATTACCTTAACTATCGGCCTCTTGAAGCGTGATTCCTGCCGCCCGGTCACTTCGCTTAGGCCTTTGAAGGGGGAAGTTGTGTTGCTAACGATCAGAATATACATTACGCAACAGGACGACGTAAAATTAAAATGGGAAATAACCGTAATAAAAATAAGAAGCGACTGGCTTGGCGTTAAGAAACAGGCATAAATATGATAAACCTAATGAAATAAGTGTCTAACGACCTTTCTACTTACAGTATTAGTGATTACAAACATGTCGGTACATAGCATACGACGCGCGGGCAAGTGGGGACGAAATTAGAATTTGAGCTGACTTACTATATCCCCTTAACTGATCCACGATAAAAAATGCTACGCGATACAAAATGAACAGCTGCTTAAGGGGCTTTTTAATCATCAGTTAAAAATTATTTATTGGTTAAAATAGAACATAAGTAATTAAAAAATTACCATTATTGAATAAAATTTTTCAATTATTAAACTTTCTTATTCAGTCGGGTTAAAATTTATTTCGATCGATAACTTTTATTCTAACGATTGAAATTCGGCCCTAAGAAGATTATTCAAGTACCTGCACTTTAGTTTTTAAACAAACATCACTGTTGTATGATATTTATTCGCAATTCAATCTTCACAGTACGTATATATGTACATAGAAGTAGAATAATAGTTCAATACAAAATAATATAAGAATTTGAAGAGGAGATAAATTAGTATTAACAAACATTAAACACAACTTACTTTGAAAATTAAGTTACGTGAGGGTAATTTTGGACACCTTAAGCTGCGCCGCCCTATAATACCAAAACTAGGTGGAGGACAGAGACAAAAACATAAGGTCGTATACTACATCACAGCGCATCCACATCCACACCATCTGGATGCTTGGCGGTCCACCACTGTACGTTTCACAAGGAGTTTTCTTCCACGTACGACCTCTCTGTGGAATAGTTTACCGCCGGCGATTTTTTCGGACCGATACGACCTGCGAACCTTCAAGAAAAGAACGTACTCCTTTCTAAAGGGCCCGGCGACGCACCTGCAATTCGACTGGTGTTGCGGTTGATCATGGGCGGCGGCAGTCACTTAACATCAGGTGAGCCGCATGCTCGTTTGCCCCCTCTTCTATAAAAAAAACCATCATATGTTAAAAAAAGCAAACAAACTTTAGCAATAATTAGAAACTACGAAAAAACAACCTAAAAAAAACTAACTACGCCACACAATACTAAAATCGACTAAAATATTTACTGTAAAGTCAACTGTCAAAATGGCATTGATGAAGCAGCGCCCTTTTGATCCTTTACAAGTAATATTTGATTGACTAATGAAGGGCCATCGTGTCACAAAGTCACTCTATGCAAACAAAGCTTAGTTTTTGAGTTTATAACAAAGTGATCGCAGTAACCGGATGACCATATTAACCTCACGTACTCTATTCAAGACTTGATATTATAAGAGCTTACGGTCCAAAGCTGTTTGATTCTATGGATACCAACAACATACCTCAAACAAAAGACATCACAGTCAGTTGTGTACTTACCTTTAGTACTAAGATAGTAGCCATTCAAGCTGTAAGATAGCAGTGGTTGTATTGCTGATTTCAAACATTAAAATGTAAGGGGGTACTTATTAGTTGACATAAAATAATAGTCATACCTAATTAAACTATTTCGTGTGACTATTTGTCAAAACAGTTTTATTATAGGAATATGTCATGGTAGCTCAGTGGCTAAACCCGCGTTGCAAATTTTACAGTACGCCAAGAATCCTGGTTTGATCCCCGCCGGCACCAATGAAATTATTAATTGCAATGTAAGTGCAAATGTACCACGTACTCGGCGATAAAGGAAAACAGTGTTTTTTTTCTTGCTCTAAGCCCTTTCGGAAATCCGAGGGGCCTCTAGATTGTGTGTCTAGCTGTGGGCCATATTTAGGCTGTAACTTTACTGATCGTATTCAAAATTATTAGTGCCTTACATGATCAAATGTAACGTAGTAACAACATAAATGTTATTACAACTTGATACCGTTATATCACTCTAATGCATAGTGTATTTTAATAGGAGAGCGTACTTAAACCAAGCGTTTTCTCTCACTGTCTATCAAATTTTAGTCTTGATTAGGCGAAATCTATTCGTTTACTTACCACAGGGTACTTAAAATCTATTTTTCAGAGTTTATCGAAAGAATAAAGTTATTAGAATGGAGTTATTTTAGGAGTCATTGGGATCCGATCACCTTTACCATTCTATCTTTTTGCCAATGAGCTTAGTTCAATAATAATCTCAATAAAATTGATAAAATTTACCTTATTTTTACAGAAATGAATTATATTTTAAAAAGTTGACAATTTGAAGCTCTTATCAATTTGGTGATCGCATTTCGGCATTGCATAACTAAGAATCTCTTTAGATCTTTGGTCCAAATATTAAAAGTAATTAAATATTTACCATAAAGTTTTTTATATAATTGTGTAGATATTTCATATTAATACTATGGTAGTGTTTGTAAATATATTAGTTTTATCGTCGTCGTGAACATGACTTTAGTTACCAAGAATGTAGAATTCATATTATTGAAAAGACTAGTAAATGGAGCTTGGGCCAAACCGGATCTAACACTATCGCGATAGGTTAAAGTAGACACGTTAAAAAATTAAACAGACGCGAACACTTACTACATCGTAAAAATGTGTGAATCGTGAACGATTCCTTCATTTGACCACATTTGTCATCACATTTCTCATATGATTCAGGTCAAACAATTGATAGGGCCTACAACCAAAGAGTATATAGTAATGTCCAACGAGTGACATTGTCGAGCGGGTCTCACAGATCACAGAATACTAAAACTCGAAATGATCCATTTAACTAATCGACCAGAATGACCCGGTTCGTAGAAATGAATGAATGGCACGTGTCTACTTTATCGAAATTGCAGTAGCTTAGGTTTTAATAAATAATCTTGTAACTATACTATTTTTATTACATCAATCTTAATTCTTATTTCAATATGCAGTATCGCATCACAACTGTTACTCTGTGATAACAACTCAATATTATTTAGATAAATAGGGTGTTCTTTATATTGTTAAGTTAACTTAAATAACAAGAGATAAAATTATCACTAACAGAAGCATCAAAGACAGCGTGTTATGTATATAATAGACAAGTTACATCGAAATATCCTTAATTGTTTTATTTTTTGTATAACTATGCACAAAATATTTTTCGCTAATTTTCCAAAAATATTGTCGTGAATCATGAAGACATCATGGACAACTAACTAGCGGTTCATTGTGATAATCTGTATTATATTACTACTTAAGAAAATATTTTTTTTGTATTCGTAAACTTCTACTGTAATGTTCAGCCTAAGGGGACCAAACTTTAAATAATAATAGTTGTATAATTGAAAATGTTGTAATATTTAATATAAAAAAAATTCGAAACTCACGACTCATATTTAAAAAATATTATTATTAAGTATAGTTTAATGTTATCGACATGTTAATGAAAATAAACATGTTATCCACTTTAAAAGAAATATCGTTATGAACTTTTGCTGAAGATCTATAAAAAAATTATTCTCTTGTTTCTATGTAAGTAAAGTAATTGCTTCATATGATGCCAGCGATTATTTTCGGACCGGTGCGACTTAGTAACCTTTAAGGATTCTTCTTGTTTCTAAGACGGCCGTAGACATTTAGAATCAAGTGAGTCGCGTATTCGTCTGCCCCAAATAATAAAAAAAACACCTGATCTTCCAAATGTTTTGGCAGTAATGGATAAATAACTAGAATACATTGATGTTTTAAAACTCTTCTTAGTTAGCTATACAATGTTGCTGTAACTAAAATTAACCCTAATGTAATTAATGATGATTATAGCAATACAAAATATTACAGGTAAAAAAATATATGGAAGCTAGAGCACAGTACCGACCCACACTGTCTTTTTAATACCCTAAAGCAATATATTACAAACTTTTCATTTTTTCCAGCATAGAATTAAAAAATAATTGAATAAA